TATATATATATATATATATAATATATATATATATATATATATATATATATATATATATATATATATATATATATATATATATATATATATATATATATATATATATATATATATATATATATATATATATATATATATATATATATATATATATATATATATATATATATATATATATATATATATATATATATATATATATATATATATATATATATATATATATATATATATATATATATATATATATATATATATATATATATATACAGTAACACACAGTTGAAGTCAGAATTATTAGCCCCCTTTGAATTTTTTTCTTCTTTTTTTTCAAATGATGTTTAACAGATACAAGAAATTTTCACAGTATGTCTGATAATATTTTTTCTTCTAGAGAAAGTCTTATTTGTTTTATTTCAGCTAAATTAAAAGCAGTTTTTTATTTTTTAAACACTATTTTAGGGACAAAATTATTAGCCCCTTTAAGTTAATTTTTTTCTCAGTAGTCTACAGAATAAACCATCGTTATACAATAACTTGCCTAATCACCCTAACCTGCCTAGTTAACCTAATTAACCTAGTTAAGCCTTTAAATGTCACTTTAAGCTGTATAGAAGTGTCTTGAAAAATATCTAGTAAAATATTATTTACTGTCATCATGACAAAAATAAAATAAATCAGTTATTAAAAATGAGTTAATAAAACTATTATGTTTATAAATGTGCTGTAAAAATCTTCTCTCCAATAAACAGAAATTGGGGAAAAAATAAACAAGCGGTCTGATAATTCAAGGGGGCTAATCATTCTGACTTCAACTATATATATATATATATATATATATATATATATATGTTTGCAGCAACTATTGGAGATAATTGATAATGAATGTGCTTTTTTTTTGTCTGTCAGTAATGCTTCAAGTGTTGTATAAGCTGAAAACAGCGAAGGTGTTTGACAAGCCCCGGAGTAAAGAGGAGAAATCCAGCACTGATATTGTGGATGAGGATCCATTCGCCATCCAGATGCTGTCCTGGTGTCCGGAGAGCCGTGTGCTGTGTGTGGCTGGAGTATCGGCTCATGTTATAGTCTACAGGTTCAGCAAACAGGAAGTCACCACCGAAGTGGTTCAGGTCTGACCTGTTTTAATGCATGTTTACATCATTAGTTTACAATAAGGGTGGCACAATATATCGAAAAATTATCAACACTGTGATCATTTTTTACACAATACCTGTATTTTAGTGAGGTGTGATAAATTAAATGTACAGTTGAAGTACAGTTGAATTATTAGCCCCCTTTGATTTTTTTTTACTTTTGTAAATATTTCCCAAATGATGTTTAACAGAGCAAGGACATTTTCACAGTATGACTGATAATATTTTTTCTCCCGGAGAAAGTCTTATTTGTTTTATTTCAGCTATAACAAAAACAGTTTTAAATTTATTATGAACCATTTTAGGGCCAATATTATTAGCAACTTCAAGCATTTTTTTTCCCCGACTGTCTACAGAACAAACCATCATTATACAATAACTTGCCTAATTACCCTAACCTGCCTAGTTAACTTATTTAACCTAGTTAAGCCATTAAATGTCACTTTAAGCTGTATAGAAGAGTCTTGAATCTCTAGTCAAATATTATTCACTGTCATCATGGCAAAGATAAAATAAATCAGTTCTTATAAACTAATATGTTTAGAAATGTGTTAAAAAAAATCTGCTCTCCATTAAACGGAAATTGGGGAAAAAATAAACAGGGGGTTAATTATTCTGACTTTAGCTGTATGTTACGATCCAAGCGTGTGTGCGTTGCATGCATAGGTTAATTATTCACATTTGACCAATCAGATGAGGCCTTACTGTCGTTACATATATTGTATATTACATAAATATAACACACAACCCCAAATCAGAAAAAGTTTGGGAAGTATGGAAATGTAAATAAAAAAAAGAAAGTAGTGATTTCTAAATTTACTTTGACGTGTATTTCATTGCAGACAATATGAACACACAATATTTTATGCTTTGTCTGGTCAACTTCATGTGATTTGTAAATATACATTCTGTTCTGTCATTCAGACCTGCAACGCACTCCAAAACAAGTTGTGACTAGAGCAGTTTAGGGCTAGTAAACAGGTTGCATTTGAAGCAGGTGATGTCAACAGGTGATTGCGATCATGATTTGGTACAAAAGCAGCATCCAAGAAAGGTCTAGTCCTTTAGGAGCAAAGATGGGCCGAGGATCACCAGTTTACCAAAAATATGTGAGAAAATTATTGGGATAGGAAGTCATTTGGATGTTTCACCTTTAACAGCACATAACATCATTAAAAGATTCAAGGAATCTGGAGGAATTTCAGTGTGTAAAGGACAGGGGCGCAAACCTAAGCTGAACTACCATGATCGCTGATCCCACTCTGCATCAAGAATCCTCATTCATCTATAAGCGATATCATAACATGGGGTCTGGCCTACTTTGGCAAACCTTTGTCAAGTACCACAATACGTAGTTACATACACAAATGCCAGTAAAAACTGTACTGTGCCAAAAGGATGCCCTATGTTAACATTGTCTTGAAGTGCTGTTGACTTTTCTGGGCTCGGAGGCATCTGGGATAGACCATCACACATTGTAAACATTTACTGTGGTCAGATGAATCTGTGTTTCAAGTATTTTTTGGGGTAGAAATTAAAGCAGTATGCTTCGGACCAAAGAAGAAAAGGATCATCCAAACTGGAGCAGCGTCCCAAATGGCACACTATGCACTTATGCACTATGTACTTATGCACTTACACACTCAACAGCATAGTATATGTTTGTAGTGTTGTCCCAAAAGTTCAAATTCAAACCATTTCCTTGATGACGTTTGACGGTTGCCAAATCAGTGAAATAAATGACCAAAGTACCAAATAATACCACCCATGATTATAACCGCATTCACCATCGGGAGGCGCTATAATCACTCTTGTAATAATACATTGCGTAAAGCCCTTTGAGTTCCCAGAAAAGCGCTATATAACTTCAGGAGTTCTTATTTATTTCTGGTTTGGGGTTGTATATTTGTGTTACATATATTATACATATATTTGTCTAAGGGAAATGGCAGATGCCATTGGTCACTATTTGATTTAATTTACCACTTTTAAATCTATGTGTTTTATTTCATTTCACATGTTAATTTGAAGCGGCCCTGCTATGTGGCAAATGATTAATATTAACATGAGCTCCTGAAAACTGCATGGTGATTATAATGCAATTAGAAAAATGCTGTTTAAAGCTTTTTAGATGGAGTTTAGTATGCACACTGCAGGGCATTTCATTAAGCATTAAGTTGTTTTGACACATGCTTTCCAACAGTTAGACTGCCATATGCTGCATCCACACGAATGAGTAAAAGCGCTCACTTATTTATGCGTGATAATGCTAAAAACCTTGTTTTTTAATGAGGAGGTGTCACACTGCAGGACTGAAGAAATGAACATGGAAGCAGCTCCACATAAATATTACAAATATAATGAATAGAGGGCCAAACTCTTCTTTATACTTACAAGCTTGGAAAATAAATATCTTGGTGTCGTGATAGCGATGTTATATAATATTAAGGCTCCCCGAGGGACTGCTTGTTAGACAGCTTGTTAGTCACTTTACAAGCAAAGTCTGTGTAATAAAATTTTTTTTTTTAGAATAATGAATACATAACATTTCTGTCCAAACCATCTATTTGAATATTTCTGTATCTAACAGGCCATAATGAATTTGTACATAAACGAAACATGGCATCAACAACAAATTACATGAAATTAACCCGAAAATAAATGAAAGATATTTAGCAAATTATAATTTTGAGACAATGCGTGATCAGACGGTCTATACCAGATGTCGAATTGGACATTCTAGGTTGACACATTCATATTTATTAAATAACGAAGAATCAACTAAATGTAATTACTGCCAGACTGCTCTTAACATCAAACATATTTTGTTGTAATGCAGAAGTTTAAATTCCATTAGACCAGTGGTTCTCAAACTTTTTTCATCAAGTACCACCTCAGAAAAAAATTGTCTCTCCAAGTACCACCAAAACGAGCAGTACTGAAATACTGTAGCGCAGTAGGCCCAGTAAAGCAGCTACAACTCCGTGAAAAAATGTGGCAGATTCCCTCAGAAATATAGGCTATATATCATATATGGCATATTATATACATCATTTTTGATAAATTTTGAAATGTGTGTAGCATGTATATGACATATTTCAATCCTCCGCGTGCCACTGGAAGGAAGCCTGCGTACCACTAGTGGTACACGTACCACAGTTTGAGAACCACTGCATTAGACAACATTTTTATAAGGAGAGTACTTTGATGGACATTTTTAAAAACTACCACCTGGAAGAGTTTTACATTTACAAAAATAGAACTGAAAAATCATATTTAACTTTCAATAAATTTTTGTGTGAATTCTATCTATTTCTATTTTATACATTTTTTAAAGTAACTTTTTTAGTGTAATACGAATTAGTTTTTTTATCATGTAATATTTTAATGTATATCCATTTGGCCACGAAATAGCCATAAGTTGCTGATGTGGCAATAAATATGTAATAAATAAATAAATAAATAGCCTATAATGAGAACTTTTTTGTTGGAAATACTAAATTATTACAGCTTGCATCGATAATTCAGTTCATACAGTTGTTTTTGGTCCAGATACATGATAAAAATATAAAATAAACATTAGTTTTAATAATGATTATCTATATAAAGCCGGCCTGATTTTCAAAACTAAGTTTTAACGATATATTGTGTAGCCCTACTACAAATACACTTGTTGAAATGTGTGTTAATGCCGGTTCACATATGTGCGTAGCTGTTGGAGGTGCGTATGCAGTGTGAGCTGAATGAAGTGGAATCTCCAGAGGGTGGAGGAGACCAGGCGTCGGCTGTTTCCACCCCAGGAACTGCACCCAGCCCTCAGACCAGCCTGCCTCAGTCTCACCCCTCCACAAGCAGCAACAACTCCTGCGACGGCCTTCGGGATAACGTGCCCTGCCTCAAGTACGACCTGCTTTCATTTACTTTGTGAAGTTTATTTATAAACTTAATTTCGAGAGGAGCACCTGCTTATGATTGATAGCACCTGGTCCACATTAGCTAACACTGATTTACCAATCAGACGACTCCTTATCCACTATAAATAACCAGAGTATCTTACTTCAGCCATCTTCGTCTTGAAGAATCCTCCCTTCCACCCTTACTCCTCCCATTTCCTTGTCAGGGCAGCACGGAGGCCTAGTGGTTAGCACCACGGCCGCACAGCAAGAATGTCACCGGCTCGGACACGTCCTGGCCACACATTTCTGTGCGGAGTTTGCATGTTCTCCTAGTGTTTGCGTGGGTTTTCACCGGGCTCTCCGGTTTCCTCCCACAGATCAAAAACATGTAATATAAGTAAATTGACAAATCTAAATTGACAGCACAGACACTTCATAGCATCAATCTACTTCCAACATTATCAAGCAGGGGAGTTCTCGAGACCTACCTGAACTTGGACTCCCTTCGCCCTGCAACGGGAGGGAGCCCCGGGCTCGAGGATCTCACGAGTTCAGGGCTCTCTCCCAGGACAGCATGCCAAACAAGCTTCATAATCAATCATCGGCTAAGAGCGAACTCTTGAAACATTTACTTGCCACAAATAAAGCAGGACAGTTACAGGGTTCATTGAATTTGACAGGTCTGGAAAAGGTTTGGAAAAACAAATAAACCCAAAATGTTTTGGGAAAAGTCATGGAAATTTCTTCAACAAATGTCTATGTACTCAAATATATATTTGAGATTATAATTATTGACCCTTTCTTTTTTTTTATAATGGAATCTTAAATCTTTAAAAGTTTTTAATATTTAGATTTTTTTTTTAAATCGCATAAACATTTAAATGTATGTATATATATATATATATATATATATATATATATATATATATATATATATATATATATATATATATATATATATATATGCATGTGTGCGTCTATATACAAAAAATGAATTGCCACTTGTGCAAGATGTTTCTAATGCCGTGTCTATGGGGGCAGGAAAGTAAATTTGACGTTATTCTCTTTTCTTGCTAGCCTCACATTGTTTTTTTTTCCGTATCTTGAAAGTCTTTATCACACCATCATTATGTTTTTATTTAATTATTTCAGCTAATAGGATTGTAAAAACATTATTTGTTGTACTCTTCTATTCACTGTGCTCTAAGTTTACCCAACTATGATGACTTCCGCTACTGAGAAACCCAGAAATGCGAAAAAGGGACCGTTTTGGGTCAATTAAAATACAATTGCGTTGTCCTTTCCCATCACATGTCATTGTCTGTGTGGGGTGAGAAGCAACTCGCAGTTTCAGCTTCGCCTCTCTTTCACTTCGCTTTCATTTTAATTCAAGATACATTTTAAGTGTCGTGTCCAGAAACAGTCGCTAACTACAGAGGTAAGATAAAAGGCTAATTTGTACTGTTCTTGTGAAAACACTAGCCAACATTTCAAAAATGTTCACGCAGACAGCAAGACACTTTCTAAAAACAATTTTACAGATATGAAAACAAATACAAACTACATAGATTGTCACATGTTTTTTAATATGCTGTAATAAATCTGAAATGTGCATCTTTTCTTATTTACCACATGTACAGTGCATCCGGAAAGTATTCATAGCGCTTCACTTTTTCCAAAATTTTTTTTATGTAACAGCCTTATTCCAAAATGGATTCAATTCATTTATTTCCTCAACGTTCTACACTCCATACCCCATAATATCAATGTGTTTTTTTTTTTTAATTGTCGCAAATTTAGGGTGATGCAGTGTCGCAGTAGGTTGTGCTGTTGCCTCACAGCAAGAAGGTCGCTGGTTCGAGCCTCGGCTCAGTTTGTGTTTCTGTGTGGAGTTTGCATGTTCTCCCTGCATTCGCGTGGGTTTCCTCCGGGTCCAAAGACATGTGGTACAGGTGAATTGGGTAGGCTAAATTGTCCGTAGTGTATGAGTGTGTGTGTGAATGAGTGTGTGTGGATGTTTCCCAGAGATGGGTTGTGGCTGGAAGGGCATCCGCTGCGTAAAAAAAAACGTGCTGGATAAGTTGGTAGATCATTCCGCTGTGGCGACCCCGGATTAATAAAGGGACTAAGCCGACAAGAAAATTAATAAATGAATGTCCTAAATTTATTAAAAATTAAAAATCTAAAAAATCACATGTACAGAAGTATTGACAGCCTTTGAAGTGAAGCTCTAAATTTAGCTCAGGTTCGTTCTGTTTCCACTGATCATTCTTGAGAGGTTTCATCAACTTAATTGGAGTTCACCTGTGGTCAATTCTGTTGATTGGACATGATTTGAAAAGGGATACACCTGTCTATATAAGGTCCCAGGGTTGACAGTGCATGTCAAAGCACAAACCAAGCATGAAGACAAAGGAATTGTCTGTAGACCTCCGAGACAGGATTGCCTCGAGGCACAAGGCTGGGGAAGGTTACAGAAAAATTTCTGCTGCTCTGAAAGTTCCAATGAGCACAGCGGCCTCCATCATCCGTACAGTAAGTGAAAGATCTTTGGAACCACCAGAACTCTTCCTAGAGCTGGCTGACCATCTAAGTTGAGTGATCAGTGGAGAAGGGCGTTTTGATCAGGGAGTTGATCAATAACCCGATGGTCACTCTGTCTGAACTTCAGCGTTCTTCTGTGGAAAGAAGAGAACCTTACAGAAGGACAACCAGTTGTGCAGCAATCCACCAATCAGGCCTGTATGGTAGAGGGGTCAGACGGAAGCCACTCTCCTTCTGGAATTTGCCAAAAGGCATCTGAAGGACTCTCAGACCATAAGAAACTAAATTTTCTGGTCTGATGGAGTGAATGCCAGGCGTTACGTTTGGAGAAATCCAGACACCGCTCATCATCAGGCTAACACCATCCCTACAGTGAAACATGGTGGTGGCAGCATCATGCTGTGGGGATGTTTTTCAGCAGCAGGAACTGGAAGACTAGTCAGGATAGAGAGAAAGATGAATGCAGCAATGTACAGAGACATCCTGAATGAAAACCTGCTGCACAGTGCTCTTGACCTCAGACTGGGGTGACGGTTCATCTTCCAGCAGGACAATGACCCAAAGCACACCGCCAAAATATCAATGGAGTGGCTTCACAACAACTCAGTGAATGTCCTTGAGTGGCCCAGCCAGAGCCCAGACCTAAATCCTGTTGAACATCTCTGGAGTGATCTGATAATGGCTGTACACCGTCACTTCCCATCCAACCTGATAGAGCTTGAGAGGAACTGCAAAGAGGAATTCCCAAAGACAGGTGTGCCAAGCTTGTGGCATCATATTCAAAAAGACTTGAGGCTGTAATTACTGCCAAACAAAGTATTAAGCAAAGGCTGTGAATACTTATGTACATGTGGTTTTCAGGTTTTTTATTTAAATTTGCAACAACTTCAAAAACTCTTTTTTTCACATTGTCATTATGGGGTATTGTGCATAGAATTGTGAGGAAATAAATTAAAATTTAAACCATTTTAGGATAGGCTGTAACAACAAAATGTGGAAAAAGTGAAGCGCTATAAATACTTTCTGGATGCAGTGTATATAGACATTACATGAAGCTTTAGGTCATGAATAATTGCCTGAAAGTTTTGAAATTTTAGTCGTAAAATTATGTATGAACCCTCATCTAAAAACAAATTGAAAAGATTTGGGCCAAGAAGAATGTGATACATGAGCAAACAATGAAGTACATTTATCCATTCTCAAATCATAGAGACTTTTCAATTCTTTTTTCATACAGGATTTGATGTAGTAATTTTTAACACCATGTCATACAGGACTGGCTCCTCCCCTTCTGCAGATTAGCAGCTTATTGAGGCAAAAGTCAATGGTTTATTAATAGCGAGAATTGTACCTTAAAATAAAGTGTGAACTGTTGTTGTAGCTTATTGTGTCCTCTTGTCTTTTTTTGGCCAGGGTCAGGAGTTCCCCTCTCAAACAGTTTCCCGGTTATCATGTGGAGCTGCTCATTCAGCTGGTGTGGGTCAGCGGGGAGCCACCACAGCAGATCACCAGCCTGGCCATCAACTCTGCGTATGGCCTGTAAGTTCACCAAATGACAACACAGACTCCTTTACTGCATCTATTTTGAGTTTACTGAGCAACTTAAAAACACGTCCCTTTCACAACAGCTGCTCATTATCTTTTAAACAAGCTTTATGTGTCACGATCCATCATATTAAAGCCTAGCAGGCATGTAAAGGACTTGAATAATTCTTCTTCATTACAATAATTAAAGTCTTATTTAGAGGAGTTTGAAATGCACCTGAGCGTAATTAAAGGGACAGTTCACCCAAAAGTTAACATTTTGCCATCATTATCTAAACCTTCACTTGTTGCAAATTATTTTAATCTTTTTTTTTTTTTTGGCTGAACTATCCTTTTAACAGCTATTGGCCAAGAAGAGTGGGTTACTATGAACAGAATTAAACTATATAAAATAAGGCTGCTCGATTATGGGAAAAATCATAATCTCAATTATTTTGGTCATAATTATAATCACGATTATTTAAAATGATTATCAGTGGGCTGGGTGTCCAAAAAGTTTTAAATTAGCTTTAGTTTAAATTTTTATGCATATATACACTTACCGACCACTTTATTAGGTACAACTGCTCATTAACATAAATTTCTAATCAGCCAATCACATGGCAGCAACTCGATGCATTTAGGCATGTAGACATGGTCAAGATGATCTGCTGCAGTTAAAATTGAGCATCTAAATGGGGAAGAAAGGTGATTTAAGTGACTCTGAATGTGGCATGGCTGTTGATCTATTGGGATTTTCACGCACAACCATCTCTAGGGCTTACAGAGAATGGTCTAAAAAAGAGAAAATATCCAATGAGGGGCAGTTCTGTGGGCTCAAATGCCTTGTTGATGCCAGAGGTCAGAGGAGAATGGCTAGACTGGTTTGAGCTGATAGAAAGGCAACAGTAACTCAAATAAGCACTCGTTACAACCGAGGTCTGCAGAAGAGCATCTCTGAATGCACAACACGTCCAACCTTGAGGCGGATGGGCTACAGCAGCAGAAGACCACACCGGGTGCCACTCTTGTCAGCTAAGAACAGAAAACTGAGGCTACAATTCACACAGGCTCACCAAAACTGCACAATAGAAGACTGGAAAAGCATTGCCTGGTCTGATGAATCTCGATTTCTACTGCGACATTCGGATGGTAGGGTCAGAATTTGGCATCAACAACATGAAAGCATGGATCCATCCTGCCTTGTATCAATGGTTCACGCTGGTGGTGATGGTGTAATGGTGTGGGGGATATTTTCTTGGCACACTTTGGGCCCATTAGTACCAATTGAGCATCATGTCAATGCCACATCCTACCTGAGCATTGTTGCTGACCATGTCCATCCCTTTATGACCACAGTGTATGTCCATCTACTTTAAGGCAGTTCTGAAGGCAAAAGGGGGTTCAACCTGGTACTAGTACCTAATAAAGTGGCCGGTGAATATATATATATATATATATATATTGCATATGCATTTATTGTGTATGGCCATACACCCAAAGCGCTTCACAATCATGAGAGTGGTCTCTCCACACCACCACCAGTGTGCAGCATCCACTTGGATGATGCGACGGCAGCCACAGGACAACGGCGCCAGTGCGCTCACCACATATCAGCTATTGGTGGAGTGGAGAGACAGTTATAGAGTCAATTCGGTGGAAGGGGATGACTGGGAGGCCATGATCGTATGGGCCGATAGAGGGACTTTGGCCAGTTACACCGCTGCTCTTTCACGAGAAGTGCCATGGGATTTTCTAATGACCACAGAGAGTCAGGACCCCGGTTTAACCTCTCATCTGAAAGACGGATATATATATATATATATATATATATATATATATATAGTTAATAAGGTGAAATATACTAATATACTTGAGCATATTTAAAAGGATAGTTCACCCTTAGATGAGCATTTTGCTATCCCTTCGGTTGTTGCAAATCTGTTTTAAAGAAGAATTCTGAAAATCTGTCAATCTGTTGACAATGTTTTTAATTCCTTTTCTGAACTTTGAATGTCTCTAGACTATTGTTGTCTATAGAGGGTGAGAGTGCTGTCAGATTTTTGTGAATTAAGAATGATTCTTTTGTGAAATCTGCTGTTTTCATTACTTGTTTCTCTTGCGATACATCAAAATGTGCATTAACACAGGCTCATAGAAGCCCAGCTACTGTAACGAGCAATGTAGACTTGCACATAATCATCATTTAGAAGATTTATATAAGGTTCAGGTTAATCGGTGGTCAATTTATGTGCAAAACCGAAGCCTCTTTTTAAATTTGAGCCTGATGAATCTTTGCACTGTCATTCTGGAATATGGCCATGGCATAAATCTTCCCAAATGGAGGTTTAAGAAATAAAAAAGGTTAAGGTTTGAAAGAAACAATGCCAAAAATATGCCAGAAAGCTATGAATCATTGCAATAAAAGTCCTAATGTAGACTTTTGGTGGAGCAGGCAGTGTATTTTATTAACGCATCTGTCGTGCATTTCACAGAGTCGCTTTTGGCAATGGAAACGGCCTTGCAGTTGTTGATTACATTCAGAAAACTCTCCTTCTGAACGTGACCACCGCCGAACTGTACGGCTCTACAGATCCTCACCACAGACAACCACGCTCACCCCGCAAAACCAGACAGCCCTCAGCAGGTGAACACAAACCCAAGAGAAAGCCTCATCTTACTAATAATCATAACCTCTGCATGTTGTCAGTCTGTGTGTGTGTGTCACTTTCTGTCTGAAAAAGTACAGCTCGTTATGAGCAGTGTCCGTCTACAAACAGCAATGCCTCTGCATCCTTCAACCTGCGGGTGGTCATCTCTGGCCGAGGAACCATCTGCCCCTGATCTTAGAAAATCATCCGATCCATATGCTCAAAATGTGGCGCTGGTGTTCGTTCTTTTCTCTTCCCTGTCTTTGCTGATCTTTTATGTTGTTCACTCATCTGAGTTTCAGTCTTTGAAATACACAGACGCCAACAGACTGAATTCATGGCATTTAGCATTGTTGATAGCAATGCAGTGATACTGAAATCATGACTAATACAAGTTATAAGTGTTGCTTGATAAGGAAAACGATTAACCCATAGTTGTTACCATCATACTTGATGAAATTGTAAATATATTGTACAATATCCCAATGTTTAACAGAGGTGAGGCGCAAAATCTTTCCAGTAGTTTCTATTCCATCTTGAATTGATTTTTAATGGTGCTCTATGTTTTTATCAGCAGATAGCCCTCTCTAGGCTAGTTTTTGACAGTAGACTGCCCTCTATGCAAGTTTTTAACAATAGACAGCGCTCTAGGCTTGTTTTTGAAAGCAGATGGTGCTCTAGGCTAGTTTTTGACAGCAGATGGTGCTCTAGGCTAGTTTTTGACAGCAGATGGTGCTCTAGGCTAGTTTTTGACAGCAGAGGGCACTCAAGACTAGTTTTTAAAAGCCAATGTCGCTCTAGGTTAGCTTTTGTCAGTAGATGGCGCTCTAGGTTAATTTTTTAAGAGCAGATAGGGTTCTAGGCTAGTTGTTTTTACAGCAGATGACGCTCTAGGCTAGTTTTGACAGTAGATGGCGCTCTATGCTAGTTTTTACTATCAGATGGTGTTCTAGGCTAGTTGTTTTTATAGCATATATCGCTCTATCCTAGTTTTTGACAGCAGATGGTGCTCTAGGCTAGTTTTTGACAGCAGAGGGCACTCAAGACTAGTTTTTAAAAGCCAATGTCGCTCTAGGTTAGCTTTTGTCAGTAGATGGCGCTCTAGGCTATTTTTGAAGAGCAGATAGGGTTCTAGGCTAGTTGTTTTTACAGCAGATGACGCTCTAGGCTAGTTTTGACAGTAGATGTCGCTCTATGCTAGTTTTTACTAGCAGATGGTGTTCTAGGCTAGTTGTGTTTACAGCAGATGTCGCTCTAGGCTAGTTTTTGACAGCAGATGGTGCTCTAGGCTAGTTTTTATCAGCAGAGGGTGCTCTAGGCTAGTTTTTAACAGCAGAGGGTGCTCTAGGCTAGTTTTTAACAGCAGATGGCGCTCTAGGCTAGTTTTTGATAACATGGCATTCTAGCTAGTTTTTATTTTTTTACAGCAGATGCCGCTTTAGGCTCGTTTCTTTACAGCAGGTGCTGCTCTAGGCTAGTTTCAACAGCAGATTGTGCTCTGGGCTAGTTTTTGACAGCAGATGGTGCTCTAGGCTAGTTTTTAACTGCAGATTGTGCTCTGGGCTAGTTTTTAAGAGCAGATATGGTTCTAGGCTAGTTGTTTTTACAGCAGATGTCTTTCTAGGCTAGTTTTGACAGTAGATAGTGCTCTAGGCTAGTTTTTAACAGCAGATGGTGTTCTAGGCTAGTTTTTAACAGCAGATATCGCTTTGGCTAGTTTTTTAACAGCAGATGGTGCACTAGGCTAGTTTTACCAGCATATAGCTTTCTAGGCTAGTTGTTTTTACAGCAGATGTTGCTCTAGACTAGTTTTTAACAGCAGATGTTGCTCTAGGCTATTTTTTAACAGCAGATGGGGTTCAAGGCTAGCTTTTAACAGCAGACATTGCTTTGGCTAGTTTTTAACAGCAGATGGTGCTTTAAGCTAGATTTTAACAGCAGATATCGCTCGAGGCTAGTTTCTTTTGCAGCAGATGTCACTAGGCTATTTTTGGCAGCAAATGGTACTCTAGGCTAGTTTTTAACAGCAGATGGCGATCTAGGCTATTTTTATTATTTTGTTTTTACAGCAAATGGTGCTCTAAATTTGTTTTTTGAACAGCAGATACCACTCTAGGCTAGTTTTTTTTTTTACAGCAAAATTGCACTTTAGGCTTTTTTTTTTACACTCTAGGCTAGTTTTGAACAGTAGATAATGATCTATACTGAAATGCTCACAAGGAAGTGTGCTTGTGTGTTGCAAGTTGCCTTTTATATGACAAGATTAATGTAAACGGCTCACTATGAACACTCTTGTAATTTGCTTACACTTATCCTCAGTTAATTTAATGATTATTTGAGGTTTAAATGGTATTTAAAAGGAATTAAATGCATGCAGAATATGTTTGTAAAGCATACAGCACCATCTGCTGTTAAAATCAAAGCTCAGAATCAATTTAAGAGAGAGAATAGCAATGTTTATTTTTTGAGAATCCCTATCGATTTAGAATTGATTCCTCAAATGATTTCTGCCACATTTCTGTCCAACATTGTGCACTCCAAATTCCTGATTGAATTTACTGAACTGAAATGATCTCCTTAATTTTAGACCTCAACAATTACTGAAACATAAAGTGAACAATCTGTCCTGAATGCAGTCTCTGAACTCTGGAAATTCAAAGGCCTTCTTGCTGTTCATTTGATTTTTGTGTCATTGTTTTGTCTCACCCTTTCAATATCCGTCTCTCTCTGTGGTTTTCGTAAAGACACTCTGCATAAGAAGTCTTGCATGTCCGGCCTCTCTAACTTTTATTCTGAATCAGTGAAAAAGCTTCGTTCTTCTTACCTCAGTAAGTCACATGGCACTCATCAAACGTCCTGTCTCTCTCTCTATATCTGTCTGCATTCTTCTCTTTCTCTTATATTCTTTTTGTCTTGATTTATTGTTTAAGTGCTAAGTGATGTTTTGTGCATAAAGTCCGTCCGGCGGTTTGGTTTAATCGCGTTTGTTTTCAACAGGTCTTTGTGATGGTAATGATGCATCAGCTGCCCCAGAAGAAAGATGCAAATCACCAACCTCAGGTAAAGACGCTCTCACACATTTTTGCATTGTATTTACTGGGAAAGCAAGAAGGATTAAGAGCGTGGATGATAGTTTTGCGATGAGCTGATTGACAAGCAATTGAAGAAACCGTTTACCTAATAATTAAGCTTTTTGTCATTATTTACTCACTCTTGTGTTGTTCCAAAAACATCTTTCTTTCTTTCATGAAAAATAAAAGGAGATCTGAGGCAAAAAAAACATTTTGTTTTTGATAAATAACCACCCACATTTATACTGCCAAGCTCTAAAACTTTATTAAATTATACATCTTCACATTTAAAAGTTTTCTGAAACTATATTAGAGATAAACAGGCCTAAATTCACTGACTATGTTCCTCTTTGTTGTAGCTTTTGTGTCTCATATTTGTCATGTGTCTTTTAAAAGTGGTCATATGACATGAAAACCAACAGCCTTTGACACCACTTGCCTTCAAACCTTGCACAACTCATCAGATGATGGCTTATTTTGTTGTTTAACCCTTTCACGTGTGAGTTTTAAATACTCAAGCTGACCCTCCTGTGTGAGTTTTTTTTTTTTTTTTGACCGTTACTTATGCCTCATTTACATGAGCAGCAACTTTGTAGTTGCCTGTCGTTCTAGGTGGCGACCTGCTGCAAACGCAGGTCTGTGTAGGTCTACAGCACGGAGAAAACAACCAGCCTCTGAGCAAGCTGAAAGAGTACCACGTGAGCTCAACTGGTGCTCCTGTTAGATGTCGTTCAAGAAAGTCACTCTTCATTTGCATAAAGTTTAAGGATTCTCAACTGTGTTGCGTCGTTAGAGATGATCACAGTCGCTGTTGCTTGCGTAGACGAAGGTCGGGGGAAGTCGCTCACTCTTCGTTGAAATGAACGGTCAGTGTGCACCTCTTTCTTTAGCATTTGATGACTTGTGCTCTGAACGTTTTAATCACACCGGTGTGATCGTACACTTCAGGCACCAGCCAAGGCTGATCATACCAGTTTGATCGTACGCTTGAAAGGGTTAACATGAATTAATATTCTGTATGAATAAAGCTTTATTACTTGACATTTGTGACACTAAACCACAAAAGCAAACAAAAGTATAATTTTTCTTTATTTCTTTTGAGATTTATACATCATCTGAAAGCTGAATAAGCTTTGGATTATTGTATGATTTGTTTGTATAGGACTAACAATGTTCAGCTAAAATACAATTACTTCAATATCTGCAATCTGAGGGTTGAACAGCAGATAGCACTCTCCAGGGTAGTTTTTAACAGCAGATAGTGCTCTAGGCTAGTTTTAAACAGCAGATAGCGCTCTGGGTTAGTTTTGATTAGCAGATTGTGCTCTAGGCTAGTTTTGAACAGCACATAGCACTCTATTTGCTATTTTTTGACAGCAGACGGCGCTCTAGGCTAGGTTTTAATAGCAAATGACACGATATATTTGTTTTTGTATTTTCATTTTTCACAGATGGTGGAACCAATGGCTTGGTTAGTTTTTAACAGCAGATGGTGCGCTAGGCTTGTTTTAACAGCAGATGGTGCTCTAGGCTAGTTTTTAACAGCAGATAGCGTGCTAGGCTTTTTTTTAACAGCAGATGGTGCTCAAGGCTTGTTTTTATCAGCAGATAGCGTGCTAGGCTTGTTTTTAACAGCAGATAGTGCTCAAGGCTTGTTTTTGACAGCATATGGCACTCTAGGCTCGTTTTTTACAGCAGATAGCGTGCTAGGCTTGTTTTTAACAGCAGATGGTGCTCAAGGCTTGTTTTTGGCAGCAGATGGTGCTCTAGGCTAGTTTTTAACAGCAGGTGGTGCTCTAGGCTAGTTTTTAACAGCAGATGGTGCTCAAGGCTTGTTTTTGGCAGCAGATGGTGCTCTAGGCTAGTTTTTAACAGCAGGTGGTGCTCTAGGCTAGTTTTTAACAGCAGATGGTGCTCAAGACTTGTTTTAACAGCAGATAGCGTGCTAGGCTTGTTTTTAACAGCAGATGGTGCTTAAGGCTTGTTTTTAACAGCAGATAGCGTGCTAGGCTTGTTTTTAACAGCAGATGGTGCTCAAGGCTTGTTTTTAACAGCAGATAGCGTGCTAGGCTTGTTTTTAACAGCAGATGGTGCTCAAGGCTTGTTTTTGGCAGCAGATGGTGCTCTAGGCTAGTTTTTAACAGCAGGTGGTGCTCTAGGCTAGTTTTTAACAGCAGATGGTGCTCTAGGTTAGTTTTTGACAGTAGATGGTGCTGTAGGCTAGTTTTGAACAGCAGATAGTGCTCTGGGTTAGTTGTTATTATAAGAATGTGCTTCAAGCTAGTTTCGAACAGCATATAGCTCTTTTTAGGCTATTTTTTGACAGCAGACGGCGCTCTAGGCTTGTTTTTAATAGCAAACAGCCCTAGGCTAGTTTTTTTTCTTTTACCGCAGATGACGCTTTAGGCTCGTTTTTAACAGCAGATGATGCTCTAGGCTAGTTCTGAACTGATGATCTTAACTTAATATTCTAATGGTTTTTCCCATTAAATAATAATCTGTAATTTTAATGCATATAAAAAGGCAGTGTGGTGCACCTTGCATTCTTGGAGCGTATTTGTGCTTGCTGAGTTTTATAGTACAGATCAATTTTGACATTTTACTTAAGATCTCATTTTGTCTTTCATAAAAGATCATAATGAAAGGATAGAATCCATGAGGGTGAGTTAATGTTGGCAATATATTTGTATGGATTTTGCATTTTAAAATGTCATTTTAATTTATAAATAAATATATTACATTTTTGCATAATTTCCTACAAAGGCCACTGTGTGCATGGTTTGGAAATACTGGTAGTTCCGCCAATCCAATGCTAATCCTCTGCCAGTTTCTTTTGGCGATGCATAAATTACACACTGTATTTTAAAGACAGACATATTGACAAACACTGCAATGCCAGAGCATTGGACGTGAAGCTCTGTTATAGTTGAAAAAGCCTCCAGCACAGCAAAAAATTAAAACAATTCTGCAAGCGTCATCAGAATTCTAGTCAGGTGTGCTGACCAAGGAAATTTCATTTACAAGGAATTTGACTTTGATATGCAGATAGTTGCCAAACGTTACGTAAGACCCCATTGGCTGTGTCACATTATTATGCAGACTGTGTTGTTGCTGTAGGCTCCGGTTCACCGTGCAATTCTGATGAAGACAGCAAACAAAAGTTCATTGAGAGGGGTACAGTACATACAGCATACAAAAAATACCAAAAAAATTCAAAATTGTCCTTGCAAAGTCTTTATTTTCTTTTTTAACACATTTTCCAGTGAAGACCAAAAGCAAGCGGATATCCAAGACTGTTGCCAATGACTTTGGTACTGTATTATGTTCATATTATGGATATCTGGGTCTCTCAGTCTCTGTACTAATGGGCTCCTGTGGACTAACCAAATGAACTAACCAAACCATTTCAACTGGGTTTGCTGCTTAAATACAAACTAGAGCTGACCTTTGTGTGTCTGTTGCTTGGTGGTCAAGCCTGCCAGTATAAACTGGGCTAGTGAGAACTTTTACGTTTTAATTGTAAGCCATTTTTACTGTTGCAGAAGCTGTCACCTTGTGAATGATTCATGAGTGCATGTTACTCTAAGGGTGTTTTCACATTTAGTTTGAATGTCTGGTTTGCTCTGTCACTGCTCTGATGCCCTTCCAGACACAACCCTGTACTAGGAAACTTTATTAGGTACACCTTACTAGTACCAGGTTGGACCCCCTTTTGCCTTCATAATTAGTGCTACAGATTGCTACAGAGATCACACAGTGCATCACTGTTTTCATCAGTGTTTGAGCTCTTCTTCTCAAATTAGTTTCAAATCATTTTTGTTAAAAAATTGTGACTAATTCGTAAATCGTGAGATTACAGAGAACCCGCAGGGTCTTTAAAGCATTGAAAAAGTCTTAAATTTGATAATCTCAAATTAAGACATTTATAGCCTTGAATTTGTTATACAAAGTCTTGGATTTTGTTACAAAGGTCTTAATTTATTTATTTATTTTTGCCTTTCCTTGGATTAAAGTTCATACCATAACAAAATTAACTGTTACTAATGTAGGCTGATAAAAAATTTAATGCAGCGTGACGTTGAGTGCATCTCGCGCTCCATGTCATAGCAGAAAGTGCGTGGCCGTAGCTCGAGTATTTACAACGCTCCAACTACTTAAAAACGCAGAAAAAAGTGCTTAATTTTACTGCGTGTGTTGTCTAGACCAGTATTTCTCAACTGGTGGGTCGCAACCCAAAAGTGGGTCGCGGGAACATTTTCAGTGGGTCGCGGAGAGTGTGGTCAAAAAAACAACAAAAGTAAAAATTTGTACTTATTTTGCTTATACCGGACTTCTATTTTGTAATGCGTGCGCGACAACCCTACCGTTTGACGTGAAATTTAATTTAACTGTTGCAACAAATTTGCCGAATCGCAAGGATGACCCCGAATATGTAAAGTATGAATATATATATTGACGACAAAAAAAGACTTAAAGCCTCAGTGTGATATGTAGTGAGTTGCTCTCATAAGAGAGCATAAAACCTAAATTAAAACAACATTTAGAAACCAGAAAACATGTCTTTTTATTAACAGTTTATTATTAACTGTATTTGTCGTGTTTACTTTGTAATATTTAGATAATTTGATCCATTTTGTTAAAAGACAGCAATAAAATAGTGTTTATTTGTAAGTCTTGGTAAATATGATGTATCTGTCACTACTTGTTTATGTTAACAAATAAATACAAATAAATTATGATTCCTAAAATTGTATTATAGTTTCTAAAAATTTGGGTCACGGCTTGATGACCATGTAAAAATGTGAGTCCCATGGCCAAACCAGTTGAGAACCCCTGTTCTAGATAGTCTTTCACTGACACTTACAGCAGAAGCTCCTATTTTACTGCGATAGAGAGAATAAAAGTAAACTCTATTTATCTGTCTCTCTGTCTCTCTTTCTCTCTCTCACCGTGGCCCATTTGACCTGCTGGCGTGACTTTTCCTCTCCTCTTGGCTGTTACAGCGATACTTCTGGATAGGGGTCTGCATTCCCGCGGCTGTACTGCAGGAGCCGCGGGACCCAACCAGATTTCTTGCAGCATGGGAATACATTTCCAAATAAAGCGCCGGAGACCGTGAATAAATTCCGAATAAATTCAACTAGTCACTTGTACATAATTATTTTCTAGGGTTCAAAATTTATACAGATTTTACATTTTTCCCTTATACTTCTGTCGGGATGGCTATGAAGTTGGCATTGAATTTCATTTAAAATAGTATTAAAAAGGTTTTAAAAAGCCTTGAGTTTCATTTGGAGGATCCCGGGAGTACCCTGGATTATGAATTGTGATTCGGGTAAATCGTTACATCCCTATATATGAAGTAAAAATATTGCTTTTGCTTTCACTTTCAGAAGAAATAAGTGAAAATTAAGTGAGTTTTTCCTTAAAACAAGCTAAATAATCTGCCAACAGGGTAAGTAAAATAATCTTGTTTTCAGTTTGAAATTTAGAAATTTGGAATTAAAAGCAGTACCAAAATTCTAAGTACACTTAACAGCAGCTTGATGACACAAGCATACCAGGGTTTAGAAGGAAAAAAGTCAATGTGAATACAAACCAGCCGAGAAGGTGGCAAAGGGGGACAATCCAACTTGGGTTAGGACCAGGCAATTGAACCAAGTGTGAAAGCACCCTATGAAACTGTTATTATAATGGATTTGTTTTTAAATGGATTGTAAATGCTCCTCTTGAAGTCCTAACACCAGTTTTAACCAGTTTTACTGTCATCATTTCAAAGCTTTTTTTCCTGTAGGAGTGCTTTTTTTCTAACCTTTTTTAACATTACAGGCTTTCAATCTGCTCTGGTGCGTTTCAAGGGTAAAAATACACAGGCCAAGAAAATGATGTCAGACATTTAACATATTTCAGATTTTTTAATCCTATATTTTCACACAGATGCCTTCCGTACATCTGAAATCATCAATAGATTCACAGTAAATATGGGTGATTTTACACACACACAATCAAATATTTGAATATGTGGTTTAGGAGGACTCTCCATAGGCGTAATGGATTTTATAAAATATTATTATTGTCTTATTCTAACGCTAGCCTTTAAACCAATCTTTCAGCAAATACACCCTGTTAAAGTGACAGTTCACCCAAAAATGACTACTACTGTATTTACTCTTCCTCAAGTGGTTCCAAAATTTAATGAGTTTCTTTCTTCGCACCAATGAAGCTATTTTGAAGAAAGATGGAAATCTGTAACCATTGACTTCCATAAATGGAAAAATATGAAGGCAATTCTATACCGAAAATAATCGAGCTTACCTGTGATGTTTACGCGTGAGAAGTGAATCAGGAGGAGGGTAACCAATAGCATTAGATGTTAGCACAACTGATTGCGTACGCGTGTTGTAGGCATGACCTTGCTTGCGAGAGCGTACGTCATGTCACAGATGATGATGTGCGTGCGCGGGTTTACAATGAGCTCACATTCCTCACAGTGGATCAGTTCAGTGTGCTCGTGAACATCCCCTGTGCGCGAGCAGTAGTTTCCTCGCGTGAAGGCCTGTGATCTGCTCGCGACTCACTTCTCCTCGCGCGTAAACATCACCATGTGCTTGATTATTTTTGCCATGGAATTACAGTCATACAAAAAACAAACACTATGGAAGTCGATGGTTACAGGTTTTGAGGTTTCTTCAAAATATCATCAGGAGAAAAAGCGTATAATTGTTTAAAACAAGTAATTGATGACCAAATTTAAATTTTTAGCATAAACATTTTTTATTTAGTATGATTTTTTATTTTTTTATTTTTTTTATTAATTTTCGGGGTTTTCACCTTTATTGGATAGGAAAGTAGAGAGAATTTACAGGAAAGCATGGGGAGCAGAGAGAGGGGAAGGATCGGCGTAGGACCACGAGGCGGAATCGAACTCCAGAGTACCAGAGTACATGTGTCGACGCCCTAACCACTACACCACTGGCGCCGACTATTTATTATGATTTTTAAGCATTTTGAATTACGAGGACAAAATGCATGTCCTCATAACTCCATGGTCCTCGTAAACCACACAAACCAGTACAAATACACACATGAGAAATGAAGCGCCTGGTTTCCTGATTCTTTATTGGTGCTGGGGTTTCATCTCCACTAATCTCAATGCAATTTTTTTTTCCCGGGCATGATCGAGTTTGCTAAAATACTACTACTAGATATGAATATAACATGCTAGATGATCAAACATCTCTTTTTAAGGCTGCGGATGTGCTCCTGGCTGCTTCATTCTACATAATGATCCTCTCAATTTGCTTCTTTCTCTCCTAAAGCAGTTGATTAACACATATTTGACTTCCTTAGTAACCATGATTTCCCAGCTGAATGGCTTTGACTCTATGTTCAGAACAATGTTTTCTTTTTTACAGCTAAGATATCCCGGAAAATTAACATGCTTGCTGATCAGAAAGATGGTAAGCGTTTGTTCTCTCTCTTCAGTTTGTAGGAGTAGCTGTGCATCTTTTCCTCCTTGCTGATGTAAAGCTGACCTTACTTTAAGCAGTCATCTTATTGAAGATCCTGGCTTTTCTGGGTTAGATTCAAAAACACTGTGTCCTAATAACACGCAGCTTGACTGTCCACATCAGATACTACAAGACAAACTCTTAAATTCCAGAGCCAATAAACTAGTTCATAAATATATTAAAACTCATTAGATTCTACATGGAAGAATTTTAAATGGTTTAAAATTCAACCTGAAATTTCAAACGGGGGGCGGAACGGTGGCTTTGTGGTTAGCACTGTCGCCTCACAGCAAGAAGGTTGCTGGTTCGAGTCCCGGCTGGGCCAGTTAGCATTTCTGTGTGGAGTTTGCATGCTCTCCCCTTGTTGGCGTGGGGTTTCCTCCGGATGTTCTGGTTTCCTCCACAGTCTAAGGACATGCGCGATAGGTGAATTGAATAAAGTAAATTGGCCGTAGTGTATTAGAGTGAATGTGAGAGTGTATGGGTGTTTCCCAGTACTTGGTTGCAGCTGGAAGGGCATCTGCTTTGTAAGAAACGTTTTGCTGGTTCATGCCGCCGTGGTGACCCCCTGATAAATAAGGGACTAAGCTAAAGGAAAATGAATGAATGGATGATTAAAAAGAAATAGAAAAGGTTTATAAAATTGCCGTCTTAGTTAGGTTCGAACAAAAACTCCTTTTAGCTAAAAGACTCCTTTTATTGAATAGTGCAGCGTATTAGGACACAGTGTTTGGCATAAGAAGTCTGAAAATTATTAATTTTTGTTTTGTTTAAATAGCAGACACAACAATAGATCGTTTTTTTTTTGTTTTTTTTTAATTGAGTATATAACATTTACTTTCACGATTAAAGGCTCCTACACACCGGGACGCTTTTCGTTGGCGTTTTACGAGATGTTTTACTGTATTCAAACCCAATCGATTTTCACTGGTGTTAAGCAGAAGACTATGCAAAACTACACAATTTTAAACTGCCGACACCCGCTTATAACACAGAAGAAGAGGAGGAGAGGAAGTTCACACGCTTGTTGTTAAAGTTACTGGTGACTCGAACAAGCATGGATGGTTCAAGCAACAGCTCCAGCTCTAGCAATGGAGAAATGATTATTGTTCACAGAGCAATAAGCAGCTCCACGTTCACATCACCTCTGGGCATCTCCTTCAGTGCGCTTGCGGTAACAGTTTTGCGCTTGAGCGCCTCCAAGTGCTGTTTACTGTAACTTCAGCAGCCCCGTGCACGTGAACAAAAGTGCCAACCTGATTGGAAAAGGTTTTGACGCGGCACAACAAAACAAAAAAACGAGCATGTTTTTTTAAAATTTCGCTTTTTTTTTTTTAATGATGCTTTTGCGCCTGCCGTTTTGCGCGTTGGTGTGCACAATCACATTGACGCCCTTTATTTAGTCACGAGGCGTTAAACGTCGACGGAAAACGCAAGCAAAAAACGTCTCTGTGTGCATGGGCCTTTATGCTGTAGTTTTTTCCCCTATGTAGTAAGTAGAGCTTTATGTAGTAGATTATAAGCCCTTTTCACATTTACGTGATGTCTCCCGCACAACAAATAATGTTTGAAACAATAAAATAAAATCTCCACCATGGTGTTATCAAGACTTTCAGAAAACAAAGAAAATAAAATAGCTTGAGACTGATAACGGCAGCCAGAAGAGAGAAAAACAGCAAATTTAACCTCAGCCCCATAGATGCTGCATTACAAGCACCTCACATAACCGGTAATTTGTTTTTTGGTTATTTGATGCACATATGATAAAATACATACATAAATGCATATAATTAGTTTTTTTTAAAAGGATTTAAGATTAAAGGCATCATAATAGTCTTGTAAAAAGGGTCCATAATAGACTTGCGTCAAAAAAGTGCACTAATTTATCAGACATACAGCCAGAGTTATTATCCCTCCTGTTAAATTTGAATTATTTCCATTTAACAGAAAGATTTCAACACCTTTCTAATCATAATAGTTTTATTAACTCATTTCTAATAACTGATTTCTTTTATCTCTGCCGTAATGACAGCACAAAATATTTGACTATATATTTTTCAAGATACTAGTATTTAGCTTGAAGGGACATATAAAGGACATATAAAAGACTAGGTTAAATAGGCAAGTCATTGTATGACAGTAGTTTCAAAAACAATACAAAAAAGTAATACAAAAACAAAGTGCTTAAGGGGGCTAATAATTTTTACCTTAAAATGTTTAAAAATAAAAAAATAAAAACTGCTTTTATTCTACCTTAAAAAAAACAAATAAGACTTTCTCCAGAAGAAAAAATATTATAGGAAATACTGTGAAAAATTCTTTGCTTTATTGACCATCATTTGGGAGATATTTGAAAAAGAGTTTAACTGTATGTGCACTGGTCAGGTAGATGAACTGCACACTTGTTCTGCATGTAGACAGGAGGTTACGGCGTCACTGCTCTCTCCCTGGTAAGAAACAGAGTTGTGTGAAGGAAATGAAGAGGCAGCGTCACACAGTGTCTTTCCGTGAGACCTCATTCTGTGAGCGCAGTGAGTGGCCCGATTACAGGCTGACCTGGCCTGACCTCAAACTAACTCTGACTGAAACTCACCGTGTGTGGTTTTGCTTTTGATCAATCTGCCTGCTGTGTGTAATCCTTTTTTCACAGTTTTAAACCCATTTAAACCAGATTACAGATTAAAGTTTAAAACTGAAGAAAAGTCAAGAAATTTTGTTATCAGTCCAAAGCAACAAAACAAAGGAGATTATGGATTTTATTCTCAAAATGTACCAAAATGTGTGCTTTTCTATTGTAAAGTACAATTTCCCTTGGAGACTTAGTGTAATATACACTTATATGCATTATTGTTGTTATTATAATTATTATTATTATTATTACATATTTTTATTTTGTTGTGTTGATTTTTATGTATTTTTTTGTTGTTTTATTATTATCATATTATTATCATAATTTATTATCATTATTATTTTATTATTATTATATTATTGTTAGTAATTTTTATTTATTTTTTATTATTGTATTAATATTTTGTTGCTGAAAGTTACATTGTCCTCTGTGATATATGTACAGACAAATCATGCTAGGTAATATTATTTATTATTATTTCATTTATTATTTGTATTATTATTTATTATCATTTATATTGTGTATTTATTATTGTCATTATTATGTGTTTTTATTATCATTATGTATTATTATTATTATTTATTTATTTTGTATTATTTATCACTATTATTATTATTATTTTGTATTATTATGTATTTATTATTGATATTATATATAATATATATACTATATAAATGTTAATATATATTGTGATGTCAGGCGTTGACGAACTGCATTGTGGATCTGTCGGCGCCGCTTCAGTGGTGTTGCTCGCTGCAGTAATTGGGACATTCTCAACGTTTTAAACGCTGATTAAAGCGTCAGCCAAACAGATCGCTGTATGCAAATACACCAGCTCAGACTGTAGCAGATTGCTGACTAAGTTCATTGGCTGATGCTGCTATGACGATTGTGTCAGCCCCAACTTCAGGCCCGCCCTCTATCAAGTGTTGACGTTAGGGTTACTCCAGATACGCTATTGTCAATTTTTCATGTGAGAGTCTTTTCATTGTTTTAGTTAAATTTTTTACTAAATTTAGTGGTGTAGGTTTCATCAGAAACATGTTTGCATCTTGGTCTTTGATAATTAAATAAAGCAATATTATTGCTGCTGTAATGGGCTATATGCACAGCTAGTATTTTCAGCCAATGATAAACCTTCGGTAAAAGGTTTGCGTCTAGTTTCAATTTCATAAGGTTCCTTTAACAGCATCGATGTTGTAATGTAATCAAAATACAGTTAAATCAGTTAAATAGACTTTGTTCAAACGAGATGAAAGATGCAAATGTAAATGCAAACGCCGTCAGTAGCAGCAGATGAGAGCAAAACCTCCATTGAAAGATCCATATTTTAAATGAAGTGGCGGGGAAAAATGGAATTTAATGCAGCGCTTCTTGTCTGTTGTGATATCTACATTGCATTGTAAATATCAGTCAGGCAGTGAAGATCACAGATTTTTAAGGAAATCAGATCTTAAATGCTGCATTTTTGTAATGGCGCAACAGTTCATTAGAAGTGCCTGGCTGACTGAAAAATAAAAAATGTATATGTGCATATACTCCATTGGTGACTTTATGGTTTTTGATATCGAATGGAAATTTCTGCATTTTCATGAAAACTGGTTGCTGTGTGTTTTACAAATCCAACATAAGCTTTAAAGGGGACCTATTGTGCTTTATACAAGCTGTATAATAAGTCTCTGCCCCTTTTAGGCTTTGGTCCATATTGAGCAGTGTTGGTGACTGCCGCTTTAAATTCAAATGAGGTTGTGTTCTTTTCAAAAGAGGGCGGAGCTACAAATGCCTGTGTGTCAGCATAGTGGCAGATTCAAGAACAAGACAAACATTATCTGTGAAAAGCTGAAAATGTCCAAAGAAGTGTCTCAGAAGAAGGCAGTCATATGTGTGCATCTAAAACTCGAATCTGTGCTGTCTATGCTAGTGAGGGAGAGATCGTCACTAATGGGCGGGGCTTCATCCCTCTGATGACACATACAAATGAAGAATGTCAATCAAAGTGTTTCTGCAGACTGTTTTTATCAAGTGTGATTATAAAAAATAGAATGAAAACATTTTAAGCATTTTAATCTGGCTATATTAAAAGACTATAGCCACACAGCGGTGTTTAAACCCCTTACAAAAGGTAATTTTGCGTAATAGGTCCCTTTTAAAATCTTAATGCACATACAATTAATTTAATAAGAATACACCATCAGTATATTAACTGAATGCTGTGCTTATTTTAATCTTTTAGTATATTTTTTTCAGGGCTCCTGAAGTGCTCCAAGCTTTATTTTGCTTTAGAAACACTTGCTAATTCTTTTTTTTTTTGTCTTTTTGTCCCTCACTGTATTCTCTGTAGATGCCAGAGACAACTCATTCAGCCGCTCGCGCAGCTCCAGTGTGACCAGCATTGACAGAGAGTCACGGGAGGTCATTTCCTCCTTTTACTTTTGCGACTCTCTGTCCAAGAAGAGCGAGACGCTGGCAGTACCCAGTCTGTGGGTGGGCACCTCACTGGGCAGCATGTTGGCCATCGCCCTCACCGTTCCCTCCACACCAGAGCAGAGGATGCAACAGCCTGTGGGCGTTTCTTTCTGTGGTGAGACTTGATTTGCATTTGTAATGTATGTAAAACTGCATGGAGGTTCTTAAAGGGACAGTTCACCCAAAACTGAAAATTACCTCATCGTATATGTATATATAGGTAATATATATATATATATATATATATATATATATATATATATATATATATA